AACCCATATTTTTATTGAAAATTTAGGGAACGGCATTCCATTTTGTTCCAGTGAATGCAACACATTACTATTTTTTTTCCAGGTTCAACAACATGGACAGTGTTGAAAGGGCCATTTGAAATATTCACAGGAATAGTATATGGCATTGTATTTGGTATTGTATGTTGGTATCTGCCATATAGAGAAAAGAAGAACAGGGCAATCTATAAATTGCTAATGCTCTTTGGTCTTGGTGGTCTTGCCATGTTTGGGAGTCACAAGGTATTTACAATTTCATGTCTGTTTAATTTATGATTATTTGTTCATAGGACTGATATGCAGTAATACATTAAATCCTTGCTTTTTTATCTGCTGACCATCATGTATTGCTGGCCGTGTAGTTAAATAAGAGTTTTACAATACAGTTGCTAATATGCAATATCTAGGTCTACAGATTTGCTAGAGCATGAAGTGAAATGCCTTTTTTATAAATGTATCATTTCAAGAGTATATATATTGGTATTGGTAATGCTGCATAAAGATACAACTCAGAATTATTAGCCTCTACCTGTTTAAAGTGCCTGCAAGGATACGTATGGCGTGGTTCAACTGGTCTTGTGTTCGTGCAGGTCTGGCTGTAAGCGCAGCTTTCTGGGCCGAATCACGTCACTTTGGTGTGAAATCTGGGGGCTGAGGGGAACCAGCAATAACACAACTGAGAGTATTCTCTTTCCTCGGGTATCTCTGGGCTTTCCAGGGTGCAACTAAAAGCTATCGTCTGTAATCATCAATATCTGTGGAGTCAACAGAAGTTATGTTAGAGATTTTATTGAAAACATTTTAGAGTTAATTATCAAAAATTTTGTTTTTCATTACCAAAAACAAATAAACAAGAAATGGAGAATTTGAAACTGTGGACCCAAACTCATGTCGACGACATGTCAGACTAGTGTTAATAATTTTGAATCAGTAAATCGGTTTCCACGTTTCTTTCTTAAACAAAATATATGCTATGAAAGATGAAACTACAGTGAAATGGAATAAGTCCTTGCACTCCATGTTGCTCAGATGAGAAGTACCAAGGGTGATGTTATTCAAACAAGAGGCATGTGTGGTCTATTATGGTGGTGCTTTTTGCAGTTTAAATACTGGATGAAGACAAAGCCAGTTGAATTGTACCTTAAGGCATCAGTGATGGATTTTGCTGGTATGGTCAACAGTCCTACTCATTAACTTTGGTGAAAATTTAAGATTTGGCATACATACCTGGTCTTCAATAAGGGCAACTTAAAGTGCTGTTTAGGAGGACTGCATCACAACATCAGAAAACTTGGTATTGCTTGCAGGAAACAGGTTAGGAATCTCCTTACAAAAGCAGGAAAAAGCAATTTAGTTTGCTAACTGAGGGACTTTAAAGGATTACTGAGGAAAATTGTAAATATTTGCTTGTATTTCCCCATGCAAACCACATTGCGCTTTTGAGTTTATGATATTTGTTTCAAAATAACATTTGATACATAAATTCACATTTAATTTTTTTGAATCCTTTCTTGATAGAAAGCTCACTTTGTTAAAGTCAAACCAGAAAGGATTGATTAACATTTTCATATTTTTCAGGTACTTTTAGACCCACGTCAGTCATGTTTTATAAAATGAAATTGCTTTACTAGGTGGGACTGGAGAGCTCAGGAGCAATTGCTGTGTTGACAGTAGCCTTTGTTGCTGGTTTAGGGTGGCGTAAACCAGGAAATGAGGTTTGTTTACATTATGCAGTGTTGTTCTGTATCCTAGCTGCTAGAATAATTGAACTGAATGTCTGTTTGTCAGTCCTCACAGTCCGACATGAATATACTACAAGAAAACAGCTGTAAAAGATTTTGCATAAAGTGTCATCCCTGCTGCACACCCACTCCCCTTGTTTTGTTTTTTGTATTTCATGATGTGATTGTGAAAAACTTTTTAAAAAAAGTTTTATTTATTCTATATCTTTGGCAAACAAAAGGTCTCTTGTTGTAAGTGTAGATTTTATCTCTCATTTATTTATTTATTTATGTTGTTGATTGTTCTTTCCATTGATATACATAGGATAATTGAAGATGTTTAAGGGACCAGATACTTGATACTTTTTTGACATTTAGCCTTTTGTTGTATTAAGTAAATTTCACACTTGTTCGACTTGTTTGTTCTGCTTATTTGACTTTCCTTGCTGTTTTAGAATAGAGCCAGAAATTTTCCTGAGTATAATGAATACTGAAAAATGTATTCATACTGAAAAGAAGTTATTCAGAATATTGTAATTATTTGTGCATGGTATGTACACATATACCTGATTAATCATTTTATTGCAAAATATATCAGTGAAAGTGCACAACTAGGCATTATATATTTTGCAAGCCATTGGTTCACCATTCTGTACCTTACTGAAAAATGCAGAATCATCTTGATCTACAAATTCATTATAGTGACATATTGTCAGTATGCAGAAGTATGTAGTCAGCTAATGTCTTCTCTTTTTAGCACATTGTATAAATTAGTTAAACAGTGTGAGTGATATATATCTTTTTATATTTAATATTGGTGTAGTATTTTTCAAAACAATTACAGACTACTGACTTGTAGATGAAGGTGTTTTTTCCAGCCCCTGATATTAGAATACATGTGGATTTGGCAGATTAATACACTTATGGAAAAGTTTTTTGCCTATAGAATATACTTAATTTGTACTCTTCTTAGGAAATACAATTGAAAATACCTGCCCTCCCCAAATAGGTAATTAAGATTCTTTATAAAAAGAAATAATGCTGCTGCTATTTTTAGCTGGAATAAACAAGGAATTGTATTTATTAGAAAGGTAAAAGGGAGCATTAATTCCTTGAGTAAATAAACTGTGTTAACTTGTTTGAATACTATTGATAACTGGGCTTTGCTACAAGAGTAATATCATTGTTAAAGATTATGCACCTTCTTCTTAAAGCTTTTATAGATATTGAAAGAATAGAGTATAGAGAAAAAAGTTAAGAGGTGGATATGATCTTTATTTTATTTTATTTTTTTCAGGATGCTGCTGTTGGCAAATATTATCGCTTCTTATGGGAGATCTTCCAGCCAATGCTTTTTTGCTTGATTGGCGCAGAGATTGATGTAAGGCTTTTGATGATGCAGACAGTTGTAAATTGAAATATATCAACTTGTTTTTTTTAGTTCATACAGCGTGGAAAAATGAAATAAAAAATCTCTCATTGAATATGACTCTGGCTTAGACATCTAAATATCACATGTTTTACTTTCCTTTTCCCTAAACTTCAGGTCATGGCCATAGAGCCAAGCACCGTAGGATGGGGTTTACTTGCACTGATAGTCGGACTAACTCTAAGAGTTGCTACCTCATTCGTTGTTGTGATGGGTGCCTCGTTTACTGTGTGGGAGAGATTATTTATTGCTATTGCTTGGCTTCCAAAGGCCACTGTGCAGGTAAGAGTCGAACATTTGTAGGCAAAGAATGTTCTTGATAATAGAAGATAATCTTCCCCAAACTTACTGTAAATATCATAATCTATAAAAAAGAAAATCTTGTAGTCATAACAAATATATATAGATGATTCATATTCAAGCGTACATACACACATGAACATATATTTATATAATTTTCATCCAGTTAGCTTTCTAAAAAAAACATGTGATCACATAAGGGCAGAAAGAATTTTACTTGGACTTGTCTGCCTCAGTTTGTACGTAATCCTTTACCATTTCAGGCTGCCATTGGGTCTTTAGCCTTAGATTACGTCCAGGGGTCTGATAGTGAACCTGACTCAGAGGATATTCAGCGTGGGGTGAAGGTTTGTGTTTACTCATTTCTGTGTTTGCTGTGAGGGTGGCAAGTACCCTTTATGCATGTGGTCTTTAATGTTGTTTTATTTGTCCTACTTGGAGCATTAAATTGTGTATTATTTAAATGTTTTGAATTCTGTACAGTAGATATATTTATTGCAGTTGCTTTTGAATAAATTCATATTGTATAGCATAATATAATTTTGTGTGTTTGAAAAGATTGTAGAGGTAGCATAGGATTCTAAGTATTCTGTTTTGAACATAGCCCATTTATCAAGTAAAAGCAGACATCAGCTTGAAAAAAATGTTTTTATGGGACATTTATTTTTCTTTGTTTCATTCCTTCTTTTTTATTTTTCTTTCAGTGAGCCTTTATATTGTGTTTTTAAACTGATATAACAGCTACATTTCAATAACACTGCGAGTACATTTAATTTTTGTAAAATATACAAGGTAGATAAAAGAGAGTGAGTGAGTGAGTGAGTGAGTGAGTGAGTGAGTGAGTGAGTGAGTGAGTGAGTGAGTGAGTGAGTGAGTGAGTGAGTGAGTGAGTGAGTGAGTGAGTGAGTGAGTGAGTGAGTGAGTGAGTGAGTGTGAGTGAGTGAGTGAGTGAGTGAGTGAGTGAGTGAGTGAGTGAGTGAGTGAGTGAGTGAGTGAGTGAGTGAGTGAGTGAGTGAGTGAGTGAGTCTCATGTTATTCTATTAATATTAATGATATGATAAAGTAGTTCTTTCTTATCAGCCTTATTTGGTGAAAATTAGCAGATGCATTAGTCAGTAAATATAACTAGATTTAGAACTCAATGTTAAGTTTAATAATGAACCTGGCACTAAATTGTGGAATTTCAGGCACAGAGGGGGCATTGGAGTCTTATCGTTAACTGATATGGAAAATATTCTTGTCAATAAAGTTGTTAATATAGAATATGAAAGATACAAAAAAGGAATATGATAATCATGAGATGAAAAAAATATAGGTGAAATATGTAAAATAGAAGATGAAAATAATGTGTAATGATAATGAGTCACAAATATCCTCCAGTGACAAGTGCAGTTTCTCTGTTATATAATTTTGCATTTAAAAACTTGTGAACAGTGTAATCAGTTCCCTTCATTTTTCTTAGTCCATTTAGTCTATAAACTTTCCTCCAGTTTGGTATTTCTTCAGGTAATTAAGTATTTTCATAACTATGCTACTGCTCAAAGTGATTCCAAAAAAGAATAGTAAATATATGTTTTCATGCCAACACTATGCATCCAGATGAGAATTTTATCACAAACCTATCTCAGAAGATTGATTTCATGCATCATGCACGGGCAGTGTTTCCCTTTCCAGAATTGGTGATTGAAGATGTTGATTTTTTTAGGTGTGGTAAGGATATGGGATTGATTTGATGCATGGGATGGAATGACAGATGCAAGTAAGCTTTGGTGAAAGTTGAAACTCATTATTTTTTTTCCTAGTTGTACTTCAGTCTTTAAGTTATTATTATTTTTTTACTAATTGATTAAGGTTGTGGGAAGCTTGGATGAAGGTGTTATATACTAATGTCCAAAAATAAATTATTTTGTGCAAATCATAGGTATCAGAAGCTTAGTCAAATAGTTTCTTAGTGGTGGATCTTTTCTTAAGAGATAAGTGGGTTTTTGTATTGGTTTGGATGACTCTGCTGATGAATGTGGCACAATTAAGCAGTGACGTAGCATCAACCTGTCAGTCTGAAAGAAAAAAGAAAAATGCCTTCAAGATTTGAATGTGTTATGAAAACTTTTGTGCTGGGAAGAAACCTGAAATGCTTTTAGACACTAGGGATTGTTCAAGATTTTTTTTTTGTACAGCAAAACTGTAAAGAAGAGATCTTCATATATTTTTATGATTTTGTTAGAAGTGAGGTATCCTGTAGTATATTTCATTGTTAGTGAGGAAGAGAAATGATTTTGGAGTGAAGTGGTATCAAGTAATGTTAGAATTTACTAAGAAAATAGAAAGAACATGAAATAATGTAAATGATAACAGATGATGATGTGACAGTTATTAGGTGAGATAGGATACTGTATAGTTGCCTTACATTTAGAATATGTATTTGTTAAGAAATTTGTAAAGGAATTCTTACTTATGTTTAGAGTAAAATAATTACATTAGTTTTTATTAAGGAGTAAAAATGTTTGATTTTTTACATCCTATGAAGTGATATGATTGTGTTCTGCTTAGTAATATCAGTAAATATTGTTATTTTGGGCATATGTAATAGAAACTGCAAATTGAAAATTATTCAGTATATTTGCATGTTTTTTTTTAAGATAATGCATGCTGTATAATTAAAAATATTTTTATTACTAATACATTAATTTCACTTCAGTTTTGATTTACACATTTGATTTACACTGGAATTTTAATGGCGAAGGAATTCGTACATAATCACGTAGAACCTTTAGAGTTGATATTGCATGCATGTTTATATGCCTTGTTTTTAATTAATGATGTGATTATTTGGTTTTCTTTAATATTTTGGTTTTGTGTTGTAGAAATAACTAGATCTATTTCTGTTACAGAAAAAATCAAAGATTACTGTATCTCTTTATGAACAGTCTGTGTTCTGTTTTTCCCTTTTAATTCAGTAGTATTCTCATATCATATTTTTATTCATATTGCTTCTGTAACAGAAACACCTGTTGAAATGTTTGTGTTGCAGGGTTTCATGTGGAGCTATTTATGTTGCTGAGAGGCTTCCAGAACTGCTTGGGTTGCCAGAAATACTTGTTGAAAACAGATATTTGTTGCAGAGATGATCACTTCTGTTTGGTTTGTAGAGGTACTTGTAGAACCACATTTTGTAGAAGTATTTGATTTGAAAGGTTGTAGGGACACTTGCATGGTAGTACTTTGCTTGCTCTCGAATGTTATCAGAAAACACTTTACCAAGGTGATGAAAATAATTCTTAAACACAGTAATGTACAAAATAAACCAAAATATAGTTATTGGTTTCTTGCTTTCATTAAGTAGTAAACTTTTTTTATGTTTGTCTATTTAGATTTAAGGGATCAGTGAGGTACTTTTAAGTGATTTCATGAAAGAAGTTTTCATGAAATTTCATATATTATACTCTTTTAGTTGATGTGTTAATTTATCTTGTTTTTTCTCTTTTTTTCAGGTTTGTTTATTCACATTATCTGTGTTTGTATTTTAATGGATGGGTAGTCTGAATTCACATACATATTGGGAGACATACATTTTAGTTTTCCTCTAATGTGACTTAAGAAACTTGTGTTTGAAATGGCTTGCCATTGTTCCAAAGCTTATTTGGACATTATTTGGTAACAGTTAGATAAAGCATTTATAGGAGCAGAAAGTGGAAAATACGTTGATATATTTTTCACATTTTAATGACTGCCAGTTTTCTGTTGTGATGCTTAATATGAATAACACCTGTGATCTGGCCTTTTGACAAGGATAATACATTTTTTAGAAACTTTTTTACAATCTTTCAAATCTACTGTTGATAGATGGATTTTAACAATGTCTGTGATAAAACATATATAAAAAACAATGAAGGGGTAAATATACTTTGTAGGTAAACACATTTAAAAGTGGGGGGGAGGTAATGAAATTGTAGTAGCCTTTGAAATATATGTTATCAAGTTACGTTCTTCCTTTATGGACATGTATATCTTATATTCAATTGATTTTCTGTT